CCGTGGCACAGGTTCACAAGAGCAACCAGTGCACTGATGCAAGAAAAAAAGGGTCATCTTCAGTAAGTGTCCATATCCATTCCTTTTTGTTTCTCCTCATGGCAGGTTCTTTGCCAGAGTCACTGGCTTAGGAGGTGCTAAAAATGATCGCTGATAAGCTTATGTCATTACAAGATGGCTTTTTAGAATCCTGACCATTTTTTCCCCACATGGTGGTGGAGAGCATCACAGTGTTGGTGGGCCGTGACAGGTCAGACCTGCGGCCTGCTTGTTGGGCAGGTAAAGTATCAGCCTGGGAAACCCAGTTCTTCCTGTGAAGGCAGAAACCAGGACTGAGATTATCCAGACACGGTATAGGGAAGCTGCGGGCACGGCGCAGCCCTGAGAGGCCAGCTCTGCCAGGGGGCAGCCACCGCCACTGGGGCTGAGGGGGCACGAGGAGCCTCGGTGGAATGAAAGCGAGAGAGATTCCAGAGAGCTCTGGCCTTTGGTTGCAGGATGGCACAGCACCAGGAGAGGCAGGAGGGAGAAATTAAGAGAATAAATACTCCAACTGCCCTCACTTCTGTCTTTCCCTCCACCAGTCATCTGAGTTCCCTATGGGCTGAGCCCACAGGAAAGCCACAGGGCAGGGAACACATTGATGCTGCCCATACAGGTGGGTCTCGCCAGCACGTGGCAGGCAGAGAACAAGAGTGGGTGTGGAAGGACAGAGAGAAGATGTCGGGGATGACTGGACATCTCAGAGTGAACTGTCTCTGGTCAGCAGGGAAAGAGCCCTTTCGGAAGGGGGCAAGTGTGAACAGTGGGCCCACCCGTGGGGCATCCTCAGGGAACCATCTAGGGGGAAGGGTGGCCGCGAATGAGCACCAGCACGTGCCTTGATGAGTTCCATGACGCTGTAAAGACCTTCCTGTGCTGCTCCCATTACAGATTGCTCCTCGGTTGAATGAGGTATGCCCAGCAGAGACCCTGTCTCCGGCAGAGTTCAGGGCAGGTTGCCTTAGGATTCACTGGAGATATTAGGTTGCCCGGTGCCCGTTAGGATTAATCTAGAGCCATGGAATCCTGGGTGGGAAATGGGCCTGAGGCCCCTCCCTGTCTGTCTACATGCTTCGGGCTCCACCCTGCTGCAGCCAGTGTCTGCCCGCCCTCCCTGCTGGACCCCATGAGAAACTTGTTCCATATGCAATGAACCCTCTATATTTAGGGGGAATGCCACACCATTTTGAACTCCATGGCTTGGGCCACAAGGGCCTTCAGTTCTTTTTTGTCTCAGTTAGCATCTGAGAAGATTTATCCCTATTCACCCAGAGCCTCTGCTTCCAAGGCACCTTGTCTACCACATTCTTAGCAGCTTTGGTTAGCTGGAACCAGTGTCCTTAACCTAGTCTGTGAACCAGTGGGTCAAGGGAGTGGTGTCTGTGCAAGAGATCTAGATCATACCATGAAGCCCTCGGATATGGCATTCACATTTGAGCCAGTGTTGGTGCATTTGGGGAGGTGGAATTTCTGTGCTCTTCATGAAGGGTTTTCACCAAAGGTGCAGGGTTCCTGCTTCAGGGCCCCGGGGCATCTCCTCTCTGGTGCACATAAGTTTCAATCACCCAAGCTAGACAAGGCCTCGCCTCAGTTTGTTGGCCCCAACTTGCCATCTCAGGATGGGGCCCCCGAGACCTGGAGCAGGGAAGAGAGTAGGCCGGGGACACATGGTGAGGGCATGAGGACTCAGGTGTCCTTCCACAGCCCAGCCCAGCATGAGGACTCAGGTGTCCTTCCACAGCCCCAGCCCAGCAGAGCCTGAGAAAAAGATTCAGGTCCCTGCCAGGATTAGAGTTTGGTTTACTCACATTGACAACTTCAGTTAACAAAGCTTTTTTTAAAAAAAATATACTTTTTAAAAAGATTTAGGGTCACTCACAAAGATGCTTTTGTTCCATTGCAGGGGTTTTCTATTGTAGCCATAGCAAATGATCACAAATTGAGTGGCTTACACCAGTACAAATTTTATTCTCTTCCCCTTCTGTTGAGTAGAATCCAACCCAGATACCTGGGTTAAAGTCAAGATGTCATCAGGGCTGTTTTCCTTCTGGAAATTCTAGGAGAGATCCATTTCCTTGCCTTTTGCAGTGGCTACGGGATACCAGCAGTCTTTGGCTTGTGGCCACTTCCATCTTCAAAGCCAGACAGGCTGCATCTGAGACCACTCTGTATGGTACAGCTCCTGCTGAACTAATCCAGGGAATGTTCTCTGCTTGTAAGGATGCGAGCGATTAGACTGGGTCCACCCAGATAATCCAGGATACCCTCTCTATCTCTGCAGATACAGAGATACATATAAACCATATCTGCAGAGTCCCTTTTACCGTTATCAGGAAACATTGTTCTAGGCTCTTGGGATTAAGGATGAGGACACTGACATCTCTAGGGGTCATTATTCTGTCTCTCATAAAAGGTGCTGTTGTTATACTGGGGAGGTTAGCAACCTTTTCGTTAAAAGTCTTGATAGTAAATATTTTAGGCTTTTGGGCCATATAATCTTCATCGCAACTACTCCATTGTGCTTTTACAGAACAAGAACAGTCATGGACAAAGTGGAAATGAGTGAGTGCGGCTGTGTTCCAATAAAACTGTATTTATAAAAACAGATTTGTAGGTCGGATTTGGCCCATGGCTGAAGTTTACAGCCCCTTCTTCTATTGGATTCAGCAAGCATTGTCTGAGAAACTTCTCGTCTGGCCTGAGTCCTGGGGCTAAAGGGATGAATAAGACATGTTCTTAGCCCACGAGGGGCTCTTGCAGTCTGGTGGGGACAACAGATGTTAACAGAAGTCCTCAGAGTGACAGATCCTGAGGTTAGGGACCAAGGAGAAGCAGGCTCAGCCCAAGGAGAAGCAGCCAGGTCTTCCCAGGAAGGAGCTGCCCAGACACCAACAGAGAATAAAGAGGTCCCAGCCTGAGGCCTTCGGTGGCTGAGGTTGGCGGTTTGGCTCTCTGCACCCACGTACTGGGCGACTTCACTCTGGTTAAAAGCACGAGGAGAATAAGTCTCACAGACCCGAAATTCATGGCTGTGTGACCCTAGACAGGGTGTCAGGTTCCTTATCCCTAAAATGGAGATACGTGGAGTGGCTCAATGAGATCATGTATTTGTTGAATGGAAGGATGCTCCCTAAAGAATAGCTACTAGTGTCATTAGTCTGAGTTCCCCAGAATGACCTGGGAAGCTGACCACCTGCCCTCTTCTCTGGTTTGCTAGTACTCACAAAGAACAGAAAGCAAATGCCTTGCTAGTTGACAATGATGATGCTATTAAACATAGTGGTACTAGTTGTACTTAAACAAAAGCAGTGGTAATAGTTGCTGCCTTTTAACTTTCAGTATTTGCCAAGAACCATGCTGAGATCTTTATAAGCATTACCTTGCTTAGTCTGCTCCACAATCTGGAGACAAAGTGCAGTTATTAGCCACATTTTACAAAGGAGGGTCAGAGAAGGCAAGTGATTTGCCTAAGATCACACAGCAGCAAAGGTTAGAAGTGGAACTTGAACCCAAGTTTGTCTAATGTCAGAAACTGTGTTCTTCCCCAGCCCCTGGCAGTACAAGGATAACAAACTCTTTCTTGTGCCTCTTTCCAGTGTCCAGACGGCAGTGGATTGTGGTGGCAGGGGCAGAAAAGAGATTTAAGTTGGCCCTAAGTAGAACTGAGCAGCTTACACTGAAGCCAAGGGCAGGCCCCTCCCTGGCCCTCTATGTGCAGTCTGCAGAGGTGACATACATGCCCACTTGGAGAATTACCAACAATGCCCATGAGAGCTCTGACGCCATGGTCATAACATAAAAGCACTGTGGACATATTATTGAACTTTCCAACTTCTTTGAGACAGAAAGAAGTCCATGGCTTATCGTGCCACTGTCCCTTTCAAACACCTTCAGTGGCTCCCCAGTGCCTCAGAATAGACTTTTTAGACTGACGTTTCAGCCATACATATTCTGACCCTTACTTCCTTCCCTGCCTGGGACTTCCATGCCCAGCCCTTTTACAACCTCCAGACCTATGTGTATGCTATTCCTTCCACCTGAAATTCCTTTCTGCAGACCCTGCATGGCCAGGCCCTAACCTTCAAACACGATGTAGCTCACCTGTCACTGCTTGACACCTTCCCTGATGCGTCTGAGCAGCAAGACAGGCTCCCTCCTTATTCTCCTTGGAGCCTACTCTCTGTCCCTCTCTATAGCATTGCTAATTTTCTCCTTTATTTGATGGTTATTTATGATGTCTACTAAGATGAGGTCTTGAGGACAGGGTCAATGTTGAGTTCATGTTTACAGCTCCTTCCCATGGTATATCACACAGAGTATTCTGTAAACAAATAAACTGAGAGATAGATATAGATATAGGTAGACAGGTATAGTTAAGCAAATACACCAGCCAGAAAAAAAAAAAGCATTGAATACCCACATCAGTGAGAGGCCCCCACAGGCCTCTCCCTGGGCTGCTTTCAGAATTAAGGAGCATAAAAGTAAAGTCTCTCTTCACAAAGACATTCCTGTTAAGGCAGGCAAGGAGTTAAGACCTTCACCTTTGACATATTTTATGAACTTATCATTTTGTATAAAATTCCATACCAAATTTTACTCAAATACTGGAGATGCCTCAACATCTCTATTAGAATATTATCTTCCCGAGAAAGAGCGGTGGTTGGCAGCACAGGCATTGGCATCATAAGGACCAGGGTTTGCATCCCAAATCCGTCACTAACTAGCTGGGTGACTTTGGCCAAGCACCAGTTGGCCTCCCCCAAATCCCATTACTCCCACTTATATCTTGGGGGCAGTACCAGCTCCTTCCTCTCAGGGCGTGTGCTGTGAGCATTGGTTGGGGTGATGCACGTAGCAGCACTTACCACAGTATCCGGCTGTGCTAACGGGTGAGTGTCTAGTTATTGCTGCTACTGTGGTTGTCATTGTATTGACAGCATCTTGCTTTCTGGTTCTAGAGATAACGTCTCCATCCTCAGCTCCCAGCCAGAGGGCAGTGTGCAGTCCTGGTTGAGTTGTACTCTGTCCCTAGCCACAGATGCCACGAGGACCCCGTCTCGACAGTCGGCCATCAGCAGCCACACCCTCAGCCCCAGGTAAGAGAATCTCTTTGCAGCCTTTGGATTGCCAATAGCTTGAAGAATCTCAGATTTAGAGGAGCTTTGTTCAAGTCTTGCATTTCCTCTGGCTTAGGCAAGGACAAACATGGTCTGGACACTTTAAGCAATGACCTTGCCCCTTCCTAGCTGTATGAGTTAACGCAAATCAGTTGCCTTCTCTGAGGCTTCACTTCCTCACCTGCAAAGCAGGAAATATAATTTCCCCAAACAGCTGAAATGATGAAGATCTAATGCCACCTTCTCTAAAGCATCATTTTCCAGATGATTGTAAATGGCATGGGGTGAACATGTCTTTAAATAGCTGTGGGTTTATTATAGTTGCCATCTAGCTAAGGCGAGTCCTACTTGTTTTCCATTTATAGATAGTTCTGGATTTAAATTTTTCCTCATAAACATATTCACTTAAGTTCTTTTGTACTTCTGTATTTTTAATGGTGAGTCAGTATAAAGACAATTAGGCTGGATGATTACTCCCTCAGAGATTTTAGCTTTGTTCAAATGTCAGAATTTCATATTTTCCCTACCACAGAGGGGAACGAATCCATCATGGCCGGAGATGGGGCCCCTACACATCTGTAAGATCGCCAACAATAGGTTGCTCCAATGAATGAGCCTCGGGATTCATCCTTAGTTATAGGACTGAAATCCCTCTTCTCTCTTACTTTTCTCTCAGCCCATTTGATTTTCCTTTTTCCAAGGCCAGCCCTCTTATAATTCAGAACTAATGGCCATAAATCAGAAATTATGGATCAAGCAGATGCATAATTAAGATGAAATGTACACTGCTTCTGCGATAACAGAAAAACCAATGTGATAAGATAAAAAGGAAAAATCACAGACTAATGGAGCAAGCCCAGACAACCCTTCCTGACTTGAAATCTGCTCACTCTGAAGGAGGAGGTTGTCTCCACAAAAAGAAGGGGGTGCAAGTTCACACTAACCTTTTGGGCATATTCAGCAAATGGCAAATGTCTGGCAATGCCTGCAGATAATCTTAGGCAGAAAGGTTGGATGTCAGAAATACCAAAGAGAGGCTACAAGGAGGGGATGCATTTAGGGAGTTAATTAAAGCAAGATTATCTGATTATTGCTCTTAATTAAAAACAAAGGTCCATGTGGAGAAAGAGCCGGGTCCTCCATGGGCACCAAATGATGAGGAATTCTTCTTTGCCGATAACAAAATACCTGTTTTTTTCCTATCAGCCACTAAAGAGGAGCAGACACACAGCAGAATGTGAATGCTCTCTAACGTAATATCTGAGTTTCATAATTATAATTGAATTAGGGTGCATGAAAGGAGCCTCAGCCTTTCAATTACACCCTAAGTTGCCTGGCATCTGTTCAAGTGGGAGATGGGAGGCTGCAGGGGTCAGTACATGGACTGAAGTCAGAGCACTGTGACTCCAACCCTATAATTGCTGCTCTGAAGCTGTGAGATTTGGGGCAAGTGGCTAACTTCTCTGTCCACGTGTCCTCATGAGTAAATCAGAGTGGTTAGCAGGGTTGAAATGATGCGCAAGTTGTTCTCTGTTCAGAGCCTTGCACCTAGAAGCCTGGCACCCTGGCTGCTTTATGAGTGTCGGTATCTATTTGATGCCCAGAGGAACCCTAGGAGCCAGACATCGTGACTCCCATGATACAGAAGAACCTGAGGCCCAGAGAGGCAGCAACAGCTGATTCAGTCCCAGCTGGCTTTACCCCAGCTCCCGTAGCCGTGCCTCAGAATCCCCAGGCAGCCCTCTCTAGAGCTCAGCCTCCCCTTTCCCTGCTCTCTCCCTCTCCAAGCCCTCGGGTGTGTCCAGCTGCAGTTCAGAGCAGAGGTGCCTGCACCAAGGGGGCAGGAGGTAAAAAGGGGCCCTAAGTTCCTTGTCTGTTTCCTTTAGGTTGTTGTCTACTAGTGTTGGCACATGGTTGGTCCTCAGTAAATGTTTGTTGAATGAATAATGGACTAACTTCAGGCTAAAGCAGAACTATTAACCATACTTGGTCACAGCTCAGCACTGACTGTGATTCAGAAAGGGTCGGTCATTTGTTCAATGTTGCACAGCAGGAAAGTGGAAGAGGCAGGATTTGAACCCAGGCCTGAATCCCTCCAAAACCTGTATTTGTATTTGCCACACTGCTGTGGTTCTCAGACATGATCCAGGAGGTGGATCATTCACCTGGCAGAGTTTATCGCCCAGAAAGCTGGCTTGTTCTTAATACTAAAAGTGCATAAGGACCATCATTCAGCACTTAGCATCCATCCCAAAGATCTATTAAGTGCCTGCTGAGCTCCGTATCCCATGGCATTAAGCACTGAAAATTTTGAACCCTGTCCTTGGAATATGTTTACAATTTAAAGATTCTAGAACTTCTGAGTTGGAAGGAACCACTGGGATGACCTAGTCCAGTTTGCTCCTTATGCAGATGGGAAACCTGAGTTCTGCAGAGGGAAATATCGTACCTAAAGTTTATTTAAGGACTGAGCTACAGTTCAGGTGTCTTGACGTCCAGTTCTAATTGCACAAGTAATCCAAGAATACTTCCCCCTTTTCCATAATTTAAAATAAAACTAAGAAGGCTAAAATCCCCTCGGCCTTCACTCCTATCTCAGCCCCCTTCCCAAAGCTGGCCGCCACCTTCACTTTGGTGTGTGTCCTTCCAGATGGCGTATTTATAAACATGTGTGTATTGTAGCAAATGCTTAGCATATTTGTGGGCTTTCGAAAACATAAATGATTGGATGCTATCTTATGTGTATTATGCTATCCATAAATTCTTGCCACGTGTTTCTTGCCTTCAATAATGTACCTTGGCCATCTTTCCTTATCAGCATGCCTAAGTCTATCCCAGTCTTCTAAATTCCTGCAAAAGATCTTAAAGTTAGGCCATGGTTTGTTTAACTAGATAGTCTTGTTTCACTTTCAGGGTATTTGCTAATACCTGTAAGCCCTTAAAAAAAAATACACGTTCCTAGGCAAATGATCCTCTGGGTCAAAGGGCATTTACATTTTTAACTTGACTGTCTACCACCAGATCATCCCAGCGTTCTTTCTGCTAGGAGACTACTGGAGTAGAGTATGAGACTTCCGTACACCCAGCCCCATTTTACCTGGCACATCATAGGCCTCACTAAATAAGTCTCTTGCCATTTCTAATTTTACTGAGAAGGAAGGTCACTCTAAAAACAGAAGAGAAGGAGAAAGCAGTCTTCTGCCAAAAAAATAAAAGCATGCCCTGCATTATTTATAAGGGAACGTCAACTCAAGAGAAATACACCTAAAGCTTTATGATTTACAGCCTGGGAATCATGCAGCTGCTGCTGATAAATGCGAGAGCTTCTGGAGTCGGAGATACTAAATTACCTTTGTGGCCCCCGGGGAGGGAGTTTATGGCTTGGTGGAAGCAGTCACACTTGGCTCAGGAGTCCCTCTTACCAGCTGGCTGCAGGTGGTGCCAGGGCTGTCCGGGCTGTCCGGGCTGGCGTGCTGACCTTGGCCCCGGCTGTGTGTCTGGCTGCTCCTGCGTGCGCTTCCTTCTTCCTGCTGGATGAGTTGAAGCATGGGGGTCTCTCTCTGCTTCCTTCCTGTCTGCATAGCATGTCAGGCTTGCCAAGGAGGGTCCAAGGCCCGTCTCACTCTAGACACCCACCCGCACACCCAGCAGAACCCCAGCCTTGCTCATTCACGCAGCTGTGCAGGGGCCCTGTGCCGACAGGCATTAACTGACCCAGCTCTGTGGACGGCCAATGTCTCACTGGCCAGTTGCTGCCTTCATTTTACTGGACAGTTATTCCAAGCCATCCTGACTTTCCTCCAGCCCCTGATCGTCACTCTAAGGAGACACCCTCAACTCCTGGTTCGTTCAAAGAAAAAATAATAATTACATTCTCAACTTTAGGGGTTCATAAATTCATAAATACAGGGCTTATAAATTCATCTCCATCTCCCATCTTCCTTCTGGTCTCAGAAGACGAGGTCCAGTCCTGTCCGGTGTCTACCTTCTCTCCCCTGCCGTGTTCCAGTCCACCTGGTGTCCCTTCTCCTGCGTCTGCAGTTTCATGTCCCCCTTCCAGCTCTTCTTCCCCAGGTTATAAATACCCTCAGGTCTTCCCCACCCTAAGTCTCTCCTCACCCATCACCCTGCAGCCCTGTTGAGTTACTCCTTTTCCTTCCCTTTGCAGCGAAGCTTCTCCAAAGTGGACTCCACATGCCCACCTTCACTTCCTCACCACATTTATGCCTCAGCTCCCTATAGCCCAGAGCCTGCCCCCAGCTGGAACTTGGCTCACCATGCCGGTGGCTCCCAAGGGGATAAATCAGAGGACATTCTCCAGTTTTAATTGTTTTTTGGATTTCTCCCGTGTTGGCAACTGTCCAACACTTCTTGGAATTTCTCTGTTTGCTTGGCCTCCTAGACAGTTTGCTCCTTGGTGCTACTTAAATTTCTCTTTCCTGGTCTCTTCCTTCCTACCCAGCCCCCAAATGCTGGCGTTCACAGGATGCTGCCTGCCCCTGGCTGTTTTTTTCTTCATCTGATCCCAGGCAATCGTCCTGTGATTTTAACTCTCCCGCTAGAAGCAGGCAACTCTCGAATCTACACTTGCAGCTCTTATGTTCCCCCAAGTTTTCAGCTTATGCATCATATCTAATTGCCTAGCCTGAGAAGATCACCAACTGGATGTCTGCCCGGTGACTTAGCCCAGTGTGTCCAAGAGTCAGCTCCTGCCTCCCCACCCACCCTGTATCATCAGTACTGTTGCATGGATCTATCGTTCGTAAATCTGCCCAGGCTGAAGCCCTGGAGTCATCTTAGGCTATCATCCCTCCCTCTCATCTCCATATTCAGCGGATCCTGAAATCTTGTTTATGCTGCTCCCCCGTCAAGCAAATAGCATGACTCTTTCTACTTCTCTCCAGCCTCACTCCCAACACCTTTAGGTCAAGCTATCATCATTTCTATCCTAGACTCTGGCAAAGAACTTCCAACACCTT